GACCCTCCCCTGCTCACGCTGTCTCTCTCTCTCTCCTAGAAATAAATAAAACATTAAAAAAAAAAAAAGATGCAGGCACATGGAGATGCAGAGAAGTGACATGTAGATGTGCTGGAAGGAAGCAAAAACAAGTCTGAAAGTTCCCAGCTTATTTTTGCACCAGGCAGTGCCTCTTGTAGAGTGAATGGGACTTGCTTCCATTGTGAGCCTGACTGGCACATTGGCAAGCACGCTACCAGGGCTGCATTTCAGTGAGATCCTCACACTCCATGAGGTGCCAGTCATCACATTAGTCACATGAGGCAGTTAACAAAACGTGGCGTTGGGTGTCATCCCCGTCACCGACTCCATGCAGCCTGAGTTGTGAACCACTTTACTGCCTGGTGTGAACTATGTGTTTGGAGCTCTAGAGCCAAACTGCAGGTGGTCAATGAATAACAGACCCTCAGAGTGCCACTTACAAGGTGGAGACCCTGTGAGCAGGAGACGGTTTAAAATATTCTAGAAGGTTCTTTGCTGATCTGCCTTCCATTATTAATCCTTTACATTTTTTTAAGCACATGCTCTCTGCTGGGCTTCATTTTAGATGCTTTGTATGAATGACTTCATTTAAATTCTCATAAGAGACCTATGAGCGGACACGATTATTGTCCACATTTTGCCATGAGGAAACCACAGCACAGAGGGGCTCCCAAACTTGCCGAAGGTCACATGAGTAATAGCAGTTGTTCTGGGATTCAAATCCAGTTTGGGGCATTGGAGATATATCTATATCTCACAATTTCAAGTTTGGAAGACATCTCTCAGATAGATGATAGATAGATAGATAGATAGATAGATAGGCAGATAGATAGGTAGATGGATGTAAATCTTACAAACTTATCAAGTGGAAACATGCAGAATGGAAAACCTAACATCACTGTAAGACAAAAAAACAAAGAGATGGCCCACAGAAGCAGAAGGAAAGATTAGCAGTTCTGTGGCTCCTTATCTATCTGGCCTTGGAAATGTTATCTCGCATAAGCCTCAAATCTTACAAGGCAGAGGTTGCCCCCATTTCACAGGTGAGGAAATGATGGCTTAGAGGTTAATGGCTCAAGTTCACATGGCTGTTAAGGGATAGACGCACATCCAAACTTGGATTCATGTGGGCTCAAAGCCCAGACTTTTGTAATCATTTTTATTAACAGCTGACATCTTGTCTTTTTAATGTGTCCCTTGAGTGTCAGTGTAAATGCTGTTAAACAACAAATCAAAAGAAAACAAAAAAAGAATGTTGCTCTGCCTCTATTTTGCCTGTAGTTGAAAGCAAGTGGAATATTGTGTATCAACCCACATCCTCACAGCCCTGTCTGTCCTCATACTGGAGTCCCCTGTACCCCCATTCTGGGTCTGGCTCATATTCCTTCAGACCTGCTTTATGTGGAAGTTCTGCTCAGTGGCCTCAGGTTTCAAAAATGAAATCTGATGGGCAAATGGGCCTGAGGTCCCGAAGTCAGCTGCCTGGCTCACTAACAATGAACAATGAATGCTGGAATGTCCACTCCACATACATTCCAGAGAAGGTGGTTACCCAGCTCATCAGAACAAGCCAAGGACACCCCTTGCATCAACACTGGGCGGCACTGATGAATAATATGTCCTTTGTGGAGGCAGTCCCAGCCATGCAGAGGGGGAAATTCCTAACAGACTGTTTTCTCGCTTCCCTCCTTGTCTTTAAATGAGTTCTATCATGTGATCTCTTCATTCTGACATCAAATAGCCTGCTGTTATGAGGAATAAGACTCTTTGGATTAGGAAAGATAACCAACATGGCTAAGAGTGGTCCTTAGAAGGAATCTGGGAACTGTTGACTTCCACCTGCCTGATAGCAGATGGACGTGTGTCTCATGTAGACTTTTATGGTGCATTTGTTTAAAGATGACATGAATGTATTGCCTTACAGTTCTGTAGGTCAGAAGTCCAGCAGGGTCTCACTAAGAAAATGCTGCATGTTCAATTAAGCAAAAAAGAAAAAGCTGTCTCAATGTCATCTTTGTTCCTAACCTGTAGTTCAACATTCTCCCACTGCCCTGGCCACTCCCACCCCCCAGATAGCACTGTTATTTTTGGACTAAATGACACTTCATCTTTTGGCCTTGGATAAACTAGATACGTTCAGAGGGTTTATCCCCTTTTTTCGGCTCCTTTAACTCTATTTTTGTATCAAGGATCCACCTTACTAAAATAGTAAGGGGACAAAAGACAGGAATGTCTTTTCATACTTGACAGAACCAGTCTATCCCTGGCTCCCACGCAGCCATCACCTGGCCAGGTGACCTTAAGCAAGTCTCCACGGGGCTTCTGCAAGTCCTGGCTGCATCTCTGTGCAACTGAGGAAAAAAATGAGTCTCTCTGGGAGAGAAGCAGCCCTGCCGGCTTAGCAAATGTAACCCCAGCTGGACTCCAGCCCCCGCACCCTGAGCCAGGGCACGGCCTCCCTAGCTATTCGCAGAGCCCTGTGTCTCTGTTTCAATTTATGTGAAGTGGGGCAGATGTAAGTGCCCCACCAGATTCTCTGCACTGAGGAGGCTCAAATAACATACAGAACAATTTATGAATCAGCTTGTTAATAGGAGCTGTCTGCTGCTCCGGTTCAATCCTACCTCACTACCCGAACCCTTCACAAAATCCTTCTAATGGAAAGCAAAGATGCCATTCACTCTTCTGAGATTGCCATTTGCCACATTCCCACATTCAGAGAACTTGATCAACAGGCAGGACGGGCTTCGTAGTGTCAGCCCGTGCAGTTGCACAGGCCCAGCACTCAGAAAGGCTTCTCACTTGTTTTAATGCTCTGATGTCACCATTTCAAGTTCTAAATCTATTTGGAACAAGGACCCTACATTTTTATTTTGCACTGAGCTCTGCAAATTATGTTGCTGGTCCTGCCAACAAGCCTTCAGCAGCACCAGATAGCTTTCTCACACCACACAAGAAATTTGGGAAGAAAAAGTGCTGAATATAAAGGCCCCAATCCTACATAGAGCACAGAGCAGGATGGTGCCTGGGACTAAGAGCATGGGTGTTCGGAAGCAAACCATGCTGGGTGCAGTCCTATATTCCCCAAGTCTTCAGACACCATCCTTACTTAAGGGGCCTGAACCCAGATGATCTTCTCTGTGAGTTTAGACTCCTAATGGCTACTCTTCTGGGTTAATAATGAAGAAAGGTCTGTAAACGAAGAAATTGTCTGGCATGTGGCAGGTGCTCAACAGATGTAAGTCCCCTTCCAGCATACTTCAGCAAGAGATACTTCAAGAGGGGCCATGCAATGGAGTGATCCCAGAAGGCAGAGAGGTGACTGGAAGCCTTAGAAGGTCCCTTTGGCTTTGCAATTACATGATTCTCTGTTAAGAAAGGCCTAGAAGCCAGCACTCCTCTATTCCATGGATATCAGTCAGAACACTTTTGTTTGCAACGGTAGAAACCCAACTTACTAACTTCGAGAACATAATAGTTTATTAATAAAAATGGGAAATGCTAGGAAACAGACATTGCTGTGTCCAAGGATTTATAGAATGATATTCAGTCTCTCTTTCACTCTCTCTATTTCCACTCTTTTTGTCTCTGCCTTGCTTCACTTTGAACTCATGTCCCTTCATGCAGAGGATAAAATGGCAACCCAGGCCTAGACTCACTCTTTCAGCTGAACAAGCCCAGTCAGAAGACATCTCTTTCTGTCTCTATCTCAATATCAACCAAAGAAAAAACTCTGATACTGCTTGGATTATACTCCCACTCCTGAACTAGTCACAATTGCCAGAGTGACAGGGTTTGTGCTCCCCCAAGGGCAGGACAAGGAGGCTCAAGCCTCATGACTGACAGCTCCAATGAAAATACGTAAAATGGGGGAAAGAGAAGCCCCCCTCAAAGGAATAGCAATGCCAGACAAATAAATGCAATATGTCTACTGTGCCTATGTGGTTTATTATTCCTTCCCAGTGGGAGCCAAGGGAAATGACAACCGGGAGAGGGGAATCGGGTAGGTGGTGTAGACAGTAGCAGGATCACTCCTTCATTGAAGGATGGGAAATAAGTGACACATGTCATCAAAGAGAATCTCTGTGAGGAAAGGCAAAGACTGAGAAAATGCAGGGTAGATTCAAAACTACTAGTTGTGTCACTGCAATTAACCTCACATCTTTACATTCTTAATAGTGATGCATTTATTATGCTGCTTTTGTTTAGGTAACCAATATTGCTTTCCATTTAGTGCTAATAGAAATTTTCCTTTTGAAAACAACTAAGTAAAAACCAGCTAGGTCAGCTGAAAGAAAAATCATAATAAGCAGAGAATAATAACATAGACTTAGGTTGCTGTGGACAAATTAGTGCATGTATTATACCAATGACTGAAGTATAAGGAGAAACACTAACTTAGTGTTTGAACAAAACTTTCTCTCCCCAAGGAACAGTAAACACCAGTAACTCTATCTGCTGTTTCTGGTCCATAGGCATCTCTGGCAAACTAAATGTTATATCTCTCATTGTGTGGATGGCAAACCTTTAGCCCAGGTCACCAAATGGATGGATCTGTAATAAAATCCTAGAACCTTCAGCTTCTGCCTGGGAACACATATTCCCTAGACACACTTGTGCCTCACAACAAGAGGGTCCGGGACATTGGCCCACTGTATTATTTTCTGTTTCAGATGCAGTCACACAAAGGTAGGATTGATGTCAAAATATCTCACCCCAGAGACGGCCAGGCTGATTGTCCTTATGAACAGAGGGGCTCATTCTCAGTGGTCATCCAAGGCCAGCTGGCTCCAAGGAGTACCAGTCATCTCTCTGGGGCCAGAGCTTCCCTAGCTGATTTCCACATGTACCCGTGTATAAAGTGGCAGCTGGTCCCCCATTTGGATGACTTCTTCGTCTTCTAAATAGCTGCCAACATCAGCCAGAGATAATTCAAGAATGCCATAACGTCCACTCACCTTTTCAATTATTTTCTCCAGGCCAAAGCAAGAAGTCATCAGGGTTTTGATATGGATCACTATGCCAAAATGCTGAACAAAGCCTGCAAAGGAATGGGTATGAAATATATTTTGTTTTTAAATTTACTTTTGAAGTTGATTAAATTTGATCTCTTGTCCATGATCTTTCCCATGATCTTAGGAAGATGACTTCCCACTGATCTTGTACATTCCCAAGCTAACCCAAGTTAATTACCTCTAGGGTTCTCTTTGTAAAAGATACCCAAACTATAATCAGATCCTAATGCTTTTCAAGATCCAATATGATAGTTAAAAATTGGATACTATGACACTGAATTTGACCTTAAGGTAGAAGAAACTTCATGAGAAGCGTAGTCATGCAATCCTAATGTCACCCAAGTCTCTCTGGTCCCTTTCATGAGAGGTGGTGGGGAATTGGGTCTGATGAGAGCTGGATTAGGGATCTGGGAATGGCATCTAGAAGTAGATTAAGTAAACATAAAACAGTAGTTGAGGTCAAGAATCAAGAGGCAAGGCTAGAGAAGCTATGTACCTCGATGCCTCAGGTAAGTGCATGGCCAAGAATAGGAGACTAAGAAAGAGATCAGGAATAAGGTAACCCCAGTAACAAGGTAAGATGAAGGGGAAAGCATCCAGGAATAAGGCCATGAAGAGAGGCTCTGAGACCTAAGGAGGTCACTGATGAAAAACGTTCCTGGTCTCAGAAATCTGGGTTTTAGTAGATTCACAGGATCAGTAACCATCATTATTAATTCCAGAACACTTTCATTGCCCCCAAAACAAACCCTATGTCTATTAGCATCCACTCTCCACTCCCCACCCGTTCAGGCCCAGGAAATCACAATCTACTTTCTGTCTCTATGGATTTGCCTATTCTGGACATTTCATCTAAATGGAATCATACAGTATGTGACCTTTTGTGTCTGGCTTCTTTCACTTGGCATATTGTTTTGCAAAAACAAGTGCTAGATTTTTTACTTAGAAGTAAATCAGTGAAGATTTACTTTCCTAGGAATGGGTACTTGTGATAGAGCAAATATGGCTGTAAATTCTTTGAGACTCCAGAGTAAAAACTAAGTTCTAAGAAGACATATTTTGCTTCAACATAAGGAACTATCTGAATATAGAATAGTCTGTCTTGCCCAAGAAATGTTGGAGAAGTCCCAAGGGAGTTGGGGCTGGAGAAGGCCAAGTAGGAGAGTGGTAAAAGAGATTTCTACATAGTAGCTTTTCTTGAATAAATCAGAGAGAGAGGGAGCTAGAAATGAAGGATGACAACTAGCTTGCTTGCTATGGGGGGGGGGTGGGGGTGCATCAGAGAAAGCTCAGCAGAGAGGAACTGCTTCTCGCTCACATCCTGACCTGGCTCATGTTGTATTTGGACAACAGCTGCCGGGAGCCATGTTTACCTGAAAGTGGCAGGATGTTTATAGTTCTGAGTTTTACTGAGTGGCTGAGCCAGCCTCACAGGTGCTTCCCTACCGCCTCTCGAGTGAGGTCCTGACACCTGGATGTGGGTTGGAGACAGGAGCAAAGTGGGTGTGGGTATAACTCAGCTGCAGTTAATGATACATCCCCATGATTTTAGCCACTCAGTGGCTAAACACATATGGAGTACCTACTGAATGCCAAAGTCACCCAGTGTTTTCTTCTCCCTTTTGGATGTGGCTTCAAGGTGGGACCACTGCTGAGCTGATTACTGCTGTTGGTTGAGCACCTTTTATGTGTCAAGTACTAAGCTAGGCACAACACACACATCATTTTGTGTAACCCTTTCAACAACCCCTATAAAGTTGTATTATAACAACTTAACAGAATGCTGAAGCTCAGAGTTATTCTCTGAAGAGAATGCCTTAAACCTGAGAGTGTATGGACCCATTATTCTTTATGAAATGTAAAAGGATTCTTATCATTCTCCCTCAAAGAAACACAGAAACAGTCTTTTCCGAAGGAAAAGCTACCATGAAGATTACTGTAGTTCTAGTTCATGACTTCTTAAAATGTAACGTGCTTTTGAGTCTTCAGGATTTTAACACGCAGATTCTGACTGGTAGCTCCAAGTGGTTTCTGAGATCCCGTAGTTCCAATAAGTATCCAGGTGAAGCCAATGCTGTAGATCCTGGATCATGCTTTGGGGAGCAAGATCTAGTCCATCTGAGAGTCACAGAAGTTAATGCTTCTCAAGCCACACTGGAGTGGAACCAGACCTAGAACTTGGATCTGGGGACCCCAAGCCCAGTTCCCTCTCCCCTCATCAGGCATGGGAGTGAACTATGGACCTGGGTTTGAGCCCCTGATCTGCTACCTACTAGTGCCTCATTTCAACTGCAAAATGGGGTTAATAATGCTTCCTTACAGAGAGGTGTGAGGATAAGGAGGCAGCACAGAGCTCAGCAAGGCTCTGGCCCTCATTGACATGCTAATTGGCTCCTTTTCTAAAAATGTTTTATTTATTTCTGAGAGAGAGAGAGAGAGAGAGAGACAGTGTGAGCAGGAGAGGGTCATAGAGAGAGGGAGACACAGAATCTGAAACAAGTTTCAGGCTCTGAGCTAGCTGTCAGCACAGAGCCCGACGCGGGGCTCAAACCCACAAACTGTGAGATCATGACCTGAGCCGAAGTTGGACGCTCAACCACTCAACCAACTGAGCCACCCAGGTGCCCCTAATTGGCTCCTTTTAAAGGATAAGCTCAGATCCCAAATCCCCACAAAGCCAATTAAATCGATATGGGCAGCAAGGAGGCCCCCACTTGAGTGGACTTTGTTCTTCGTCACTGAGGGTGTACCAGGGTGACTGCTGCTCCCTCCAAAGATATGTCCACCCAGAACCTGTGAATGTGAACTTAACTGAGAAAAGGATCTTTACAGATGTAATTAAATTAATGACTTTGAGAAAGGATCAAGCTGGATTACCTGGGTGGATCCTAAATCCATGGACAAATTTCCTTAAAACAAGAGAGGGGCACCAGGCTGGTTCAGTTAGTGGAGCATGCAACTCTTGATCTTGACCAAGATCAAGCCCCACACTGGGTACAGGGATTATTTAAATTCATAAGTAAAATTTTATAAAAGAGAGAGAGCAAGAGAGGCAGAAGCAAACATTCAGGAAGAGTCTGTGTGAAGCCAAAGCAGAGAGTGGAGCAACATTCCAGACACTGAGCTAAGGATTGTCCGAGGCCTCCGGAAGTTAGAACAGGCAAGGAACAGATTTGACCCCAGAGACTCTTTTGGGGGTGTGGCTTTGCCTACATCATGACTTCAGTCATTTGGCCTCTGAATTGTGAGGGCATATATTGCTGTTTTAAGTCACAGAGTTTGTGGTAATTGTTATAGGAGCCTCAGGAAACTAACACAGTAGACAAGAAAAAATCAATGACCCTTCCTGGCAGGCAAGATTCTCCCCATTCATTGCTTCCTCTGCCTTCCCTGCACTCCCATTTTCAAAGGAGACACTGAGGGACTGGAAAGCCCACAGCCTGCCCCCCTCCCCAGCTCAGCCAGGCTGCTGGGGCTGGCATGGGGCGGGGGGGCCGTGGGGAAAGCAGAGACCCCCTCTGTCTGCACATCACTCAGATCACTCATATGGCACATGGGCCCCTGGTATGAAGCAGAGGGCACTTCAAACCCAGGAGCCTCAATCTTGCTGAAACTCAGTTCAGTCTCCTCCCAGAAAATTGCTGGGAGAGCAAAAGCAAGGAGGCCCTCTGGCACTCCCAAGGCTGATTATCACCCTGGGCCTGACTTCTACTGTATAATTACTCTGCAGTGTCCGATGTACAGTCAGGGCTGAGATTCCTTCTTGTTTTCTAAAAAGTCTTTCCCAGAACCACTGGGGACTGACCCCAGTGCCTCAAGCCATTGTAAATGTTTACAGGAAACTGTTCAGCAGCACAGACTGCTTATATGACACACATATTGTGAAATGTAAAATGAAGTCATTGTTCAGTAAATCACTTCTTGGTTGGGTAGTGGGAAAGGCTCCCAGGATAAACCTGAGACCAGATTCAAAGGGCTTGAGGGAAATCTAGTCATTTCCAGGCTTTTCACCCAACCCCCAGGGTGATGTCAAGCTATCCCAGGACAGCGTGGGTCTCTGGTCTCACTTTCTAATGTGTTCCAGGAAGGAAAGTCTAAAAAACATTATTTTTAAATTTTTAACTCAATTTTCCTGAATTATCCTGGTCTGGGTTGACTCTGGCCTCAGAGTACATTTCCCATTGGTCCAAGTGACTAGCACAGCTTACACCAATGCAGAGACAAGGTCGTGTCATGATGCAATGCAAACATCTCTGCTCACTCATTCATTCATTCATTCACACATGTATGCATGCATTTAAATATCCATCCATTCAACAAGTCATCTGATGAATTTTGCGAGGCTTCAATGTGGACACAGCAGCGAGCGAATCCCCCCCACCTCTGTCCCATGGGACTTGGACAGAACAGGCCATACAAGGGATACAGAAGGTGGAGTGCCTCCTCTACTCCAGGGAAGTCCAGTGAGTTGAGTCCTGAATAAGGAATGGAGTGAAGGTAAGGATCAAAGATAAAGGTGTTCCAGGTAGAGGGAGGAGCCAGGGGTGAGAAAGAAAGTGTTGCCTGTGTCAGGAGCTGCACGTGGTTTATGGAGACCCCAGAAGAGTATAAGTGGGAGGGACATGACTATGAGAGGCAAGTAGGAGCTACTCCAAAAGACCTCATATGCCCCACTGAAGAGCTGAGACTATTCTGGATTTGTAGGACCCTATATGACAAGCTTTGATATAGAAGATAAGCAAACACATTCTAGGGACAGTGAATGGTGGCCATAAAAGGGGTGTGTAATGCAGGAACCCCACTTGGGTATTAGTGGTTCTGCTGAGGAATGTGACAGAGAAGTGAGTGGATCTGTGAGATATCTAGGAAGTGGAATAGTGAGGTCTTAGTGGTACCTTATTGGAGGGGGGTGAGGGGAAGGAGGGAACCAGGGATGAGCCCCAGATTCCTGGTTGGCACAATATAGCAAATGGGCCACCTGGGAAGCAGGAAGGCCCCTTCCAGGGATGACACCTGTAAGGATTCAGGTCTGAGACGTGGAGACCCTGGACCTGGGCAGGGGCAGCCCTCACTAAAGAAAGGGACCGATTCAAGAGATTCTTACCAGAAAAAGATATCCCTTCTGAGGTGAGATTTCTGGCATTCAAAAGTTAAAAAAAATAATATGTCACGGAGGAAGTAATTGTATACTCCCCACAAAGCTGAAACTGCAGGAAAAAATTTAGAGGAACCATATAAATAACAGTGCTGGAAATGAACCAGAACCAGGCAGGCAATTAATCACGGCTGTTGTTGTAGGTGAGCTCATCCTAGAATCTTCTGTTTCTCCATTTGGAATCAAACACCTAGGTCTTCCCAGAATTGTAAAGGTGGAACTAATCCCTGAGACTAAGTGAATAGTCTGAGGACACAAAGCTCACGGCTGTGCCAGGACCAGCACACAGCTCTCTCATCCCCATCGTCCCAAATACTGCGGTGAGGACTGATGTCAGAGTCGAGGCAGGGGTAGAACAACTCAAGCCTTCACCAGCGAAAAAAGAAGGAGAGTCTCTTTGTTCCCGTCCCCTTCTCTGTAGTCAAGTCTCCCTTCCACAGCTTCCCCACACCCATGACCCGGATTTTTTTTTCCTCCCAACTCTCCCATTAGAACGCATCAAATGTATCTACCATTTCTTGTTCCTTGGGGATCCTGAGCTGGGTGGGCGATCATGCAAGTTCGACTAAGTCAATTCCAATCAAAAGTGACCAAGCCCGTGCTAGTTAGTCACAGGGAGCGGCCATTAGGAGTAAGGCTGGGAAAAAGCCAATGCAGGATACTCCAGACTCTGGCTGTGACAAGGGTTTGGGGTTCCTTTCCTGAAGTCTTGAGGCACTGCTGAGGATAGTGGGTGCATTTGTTTCTAGAGTTGCCATAAGGAAGTACCACAAACCAGGTGGCTAAAAACAGCAGAAATGTATTGTCTCCCAGCTCTGAAAGCCAGAGTCTGAAGTCAAGGAGTCAGGAGGCTACACTCCCCCTGAAGGCACTAGGAAGGACCTGTACCAGGTCTTCTACTCTGCTTCTGGTGGCCTCGGGCGTTCCTTGGTTTGTAGATGAGTCTCTCCAATCCTCTGTCCTCACATGGCACTCTCCCTGTGCCTTTGGTGCCAAAGGTCTACATTCTGTAGCAGGCTTTCAGATCCCAGACATTCAGCTACCACCTTCCATGATTTTTGTCAACCTGAGTACTACTGACATAACATATTTCTTTTAATCAGCTCGTCCAGCCTCTGTCCTTTACAAAACATCAGCAAAATCACGGGAGTGATGAATAAGTGATATCTACTTATAGTTGACTCTTGAACAACACAGATTTGAACTGAATGGGTCCACTTATATGCAGAATTTTACAGTACAGTACTGTAAATGTATTTTCTCTTCCTCATGATTTTCTCAGTAACATTTGCTTTTCCCTAAATTATTGTAAGAATACAATATATGATACACAAAACATTCAAAAATGTGCTAATTGACTTTATGTTATCAGTAAGGCTTCTGGTTAATAGTAGAGTATTACTTGAATACTCAAGTTTTGGGGGACTCAAAAGTTATACATGAGTTTTTTACTGCAAGAACTGGTACCCCAAACCTTGTATGATTCAAGAGTCAGTGGTATATACAGTCAATGGTATATACAGTCAATGCCATACAGTCGGTAAGGGTAGAGGCATTACTTGAATCCAGGCTGAAGAATCTAATTCAGGGTTTGCTGGTTACATAGACTTTCTCATTCCCACACCTGCAATCCTGGATCATGTTTCCAATCCTGTCTCCATGTTCTTAAAAGGATATTCTCCCCTTATTTCTTCTTCATTATAGTTTTTGGTACTGATCAAATTGCTTACAATGAATATGTATTACTTTTGGAACATCAGGGGGGAAAAACTTTTTAGAAAGAGTGTAATCTAAAAATATAATAGTCAGGGAGCACCTGGGTGGCTCAGTCGGTGTCTGACTTTGGCTCAGGTCATGATCTTGTGGTTCATGGGTTCGAGTCCCACATAGGGCTTTGCACTAACAGTGTGGAGTCTGCTTTGGCTTTTCTCTCTCTCTTTTTCCCCTACCCCTGTTCATGCTCTCTCTCTCTCAAAAATAAGTAGACATTAAAAAAATTTTAATAGTCAGGAGCTTAAAGAGGCAACTACCCATCCTGGTCCCAATTAGGACTTCTCTCTTGAGATTGACAACTTTATGGGTGGACTTGATATTATAGTAATGTGGGGCTATATTTTAATCTCTTCTACTCAGTTTTAAGTACTCAGAGGTCAAAGAACAGACCATAGTTTTTTTTAGATTTTTCAGTTTTATTTAGGTATAAATTCATATCCCATACCTTTTACCCATTTAAAATGTACAATTCAGTGGTTTTTAATATGATCACAGTTATGTGATACCATCATTGCAGTCAACTTTGAACATTTTCATCACCTCAAAAACAAACCTCCTTCTCTTTAGCTTTCACCTCCCTACCCAGCCCATCCCCAGACACGAATCTCCTTTCTATCTGTATAGATATCCCGATTCTGGACTTTCATATGAATGGAATAATATGATATGTGTTCTTCTGTGACTGACTTCTTTCACTCAGCATAAAGTTTCAAGGTTCATTCAAATTGTAGCATGTATCAGGACCTCATTCATTTTTTTCTGGCCAAACAATATTCTGCTGTATGGATATACCCCATTTGTTTATCCATTTGTTCACTGATGGACATTCAGGTTATTTCTACCTTTCAGCTATTGTGAGTAATGCAGCAATGAACATTTGTGTGCAAGTTGTATGTGGCCGTTTGTTTTCATTTCTCTTGAGTATATACCTAGGAGTGAAATTAAGGCCACACTCATTCCTCTTTCTGCTACAATGCCTAGCACTGTGCTTCATGCAGTGTGAGGCCTCCACGGATATTTGTCAAGTGAGTGAAAAGAACACACTTCTCCATGAGACATTAAAGCTAAGGGATACATCTAGGCTCCACTCACACTTCTAACCAATGCCCCAGCTTCCTTGGAATTGACCAAAATCAACCTCCATCTTCTTTCTTATTCACTCTCGGCCTTGTCTCTTTCTTTTGCAATTTAGGAACCGATGAAGCATCCATCATTGAAATCTTATCAAACAGGACATCGGATGAGAGGCAACAAATAAAGCAAAAGTACAAGGCAACATATGGCAAGGTGATTCCAAGGGTCCCTGCGAACGGGCACACATCCTTGGCCTTGGAGGTCTCTGCTTTCTCTACCTTCCCAAGGCAGCGGGGAATGTCTTTAAAGCTTTACTGAGTTAGCTCAAGAGCAAACAAAATGAAACTACTCTTTATAATTTTAATTGACTTCAGAAAAACCAAAAATACCTTGTTAACTTAATAGCCTATAAAATCAATATTCTTGAACTTCCTTTGAAAACTGACACCCTTTTGCTAGCAATCCTTCTGTCATTTTCCCACTCATCTGGACTAATTCTACATATCAACTTACAGATAGGTCAATGACTTGAAAATCAGTTTTCACTGGTGAGTCTTTATACAAGAATTCTTGGTTTATCCATCCATCTTCAAGAAAGAAGATATGTTCTTCATAAGTGATTGTTATAGAACACTGGATAAAAAACCTTCATTTCATTAACCAGGACCACTTTTTTCTTTCTTTGTGTGACTTTTCTTTCATTCATTTTGTTGTTGTTGATGTTGTTATGTATATATTTTTTTAAGTATACATTAGGCTTTCTATTTTCTTTATTAATATAAAATGAACACAATTTAACCTTTCCTTTTTTTATTTTTTATTTTTCTGATACAGAGAGAGAGAGAGAGAGAGAGAGAGCAGGGAAGGGGCAGAAAGAAAGGGAGAGAGAGATCCCAAGCAGGCTTCACACTGTCAGTGCAGAGACTGATATGGAGCTCGAACTCATGAACCGTGAGGTCATGACCTGAGCTGAAATTAAGAGCCAGACACTTAAGCAACTGAGTTACCCAGATGCCCCTACAATTTAACCTTTTTTAAACTGTCATTAAGATTATTAGCATGCAAAATGGTAATTAATAAAATATTAAATATCATGCTGTATTCTGAATTTATATTTATAAAACCTTTAGAGTTTCAATCCCTCCATATATAAATAGATATAGAGATGGGTTTTCTTACTTATTTGACATTGGGCAGGCAATAATCTCTTCAGTCCTTGGTGTCCTCACATACAGAATGAAATGTAATCTACCTCCCTTCTCAGGTTGCTAAGAGAATCAGGCAGGCTAAGCCAGTAGCCTCTCAGTAAAGGGAAGCCATCCTAGGTAAGACTGTTCCATTTTACAGAGAAGAAACCTGGAGCTCCTCTGTTTCCATGACTCAAGCAAAATCACACACTTAGTAAGAAAAAGAACCAACACTCCAATCCCAGTCTTCTGACTCCAGGGCCGGTTTCCACTCCTGAAGAACGCATTGTCATGAGAGGGGCTATTTATTTCTACACTAAATGGCCCAGATGGCAGCACTTTTATCGATTTTCTGCTTCTCTCTTCACAGTCAGGCTTGTCAATGTCTTTTCTTGATGACATTGATGAAAGTCAGTGAATCTTCGGCTCAGCTGCATGGAATTGAATTGAATGACGTTGAACTTTTATCCTTGTCGGCATACCTAACTGTAGCAGCCTCTCAAGTGCTGTCTACCCCCACGACATGGAAAGTCAAATACAGACTTCTTAAACTTGAGTGTAAAGCAGAGTAAATGAGTTTGAGGTGAGGACTTACGGTGCTCTGCTAAAGAAAAAGTAGGCATGCTCTAGCACCAAGCTTTGCAAGACCAACACCTGCCAATCATTTGCTTACTTTCTAGTTTGTGGCTGTTTCAGACAGTTGAGACTGCCAAGGAGGTGGTCTGGAATCACAGCATCTGAAGCTCAAAGATGTTGGAAACAGACAAATCAAAGTCCCCATGCCAACTGAACTCCAAAGAGAACAAGCATCCCAAGGTGACACTCCTAGTGAGCAGGAAAACCAGGATTAGAGCTGAGATATCCTGAGCCAGCTTTTGTGTCCAAACAGAATGTAAACACACAAGGATCTGTTTTCATGTCTGTGGCTTGTAAGTGTAGGCAGCTGGGGTTTCTCTTCTTTACAGTTCGACATAATGCCCATCTGACCTGAAAAAAGACATTTCCAGTCTTTGGATGGATCCACACCATAGAGTACTGACCAAAAGCCTGACTTTACAGGATGCAGCTTTAGATGGAGCAGCTGCCTGAAGACAGAGGCCCCTACATAAGACTGTAGACCCCACTCATTAGGCAAAATCTTCTGGGCTTTTTTCCCAGGATCAGAGGTTCATAAAAGAAACAATTGATTAGCCTTCTCTTAGAAAGGTCCCTTCAGGGTGGAATGATGGTAATACCCACTTCCTGAACATTTAAAGTGTTCCAGGCACTGTGCTTGGGCTTTACATGGATTGTCTCAGTTAATTTTCCCAACAGCCCTAAGAGGTGAGTCTTACTGGGGAGCCTGGGTGGTTCAGTCCATTAAGTGTCCGACTTCACCTCAGGTCATGATCTCACGGTTTATGAGTTCAAGCCCAGCTGCTGACAGCTTAGAGCCTGGAGCCTGCTACAGATTCGGTCTCCTTCTATCTCTGCCCCCTCCCTGCTTGTGTTCTCTTGCTCTCTGTCTCAAAAAATAAATAAATATTTAAAAAAGAGGTGAGTCTCATTAGACCCCCATTTTTCAGAAGAAACTGACAATTGGTGAAGGTACACTTCCAAGGTCACACGGCTGCTGTGACCATGTCATTAGCCATCATGCCATGCTGTTGAGTGGCCAGACCCACTCCATGCTTTAATTTGGGTTCCAAGATGCTAGCTGCTCCATGAGTCTCCAGTCTGACCCACATGGGACATGTGTGGACATGAGGTTCCTTCTTCAAGGTCCTTCCATGAAGTTGGGATATTGGCATCTCTAGTTAGACTGAACACCAATTTTTGTCCCTTTTGTCACTAACCCATCATATCAGAGAGACACAGGTAGGAACAGGCAGTTTACCTATAAGATAGCACCTCCCAAAAAACATCCATGAACACAGACATTTGCTAAAAACAGGCGCCATTGGGCATTTCATATACTTTATTTCTTCCTTCATGTATTTCATTTCTTCTCCCACCTGAGTGCTTTCCAACGTGTGTCCCTGTCCAGATTTAACAAGTTAAACAAAGTGACTATACATCTGGTTTGCCCAGGGTGGTCTCCATTTATTCGTGTTGTGCCACTGCAACTACTCTCTCTTTTTTTTAAAATATTTATTTAATCTCAAGAGAGAGAGAGAGAGAGAGAGAGAGACAAAGCAGGAGTGGGGGAGGGGCAGAGAGAGGAGACACAGAATCCGAAGCAAGCTCCAGGCTCTGAGCTGTCAACACAGAGTCTGATGCAGAGCTTGAACCCACAAACTGTGAGATCATGACCTGAGCCAAAGTCAGCCGCTTAACCAACTGAGCTACCCAGGTGCCCCCACCACCACGCTTTCATTCTCAAAATCACTTCAGGGGTGCCTAGCTGGCTCAGTCAGCTGAGCATCAGACTCAGGTCATGATCTCAGGGTGCCGGATTGAGCCCTACGTTGGGCTTTGTGCTGAGCGTAGAGCCTGCTTGAGATTCTCTCTCCTTCTGCATCTCTCCTCCGCACGCTCTCTCTAAAAATGAAACGAAACAGAACAGAACCAAACAAAACCATTTAAATTTGGATGAAAAATGATCTGATCCCCCAGAGATAACAAACCCATGTGTCAGTCCTTTCTAGTCTAGCAAGTGTTTGGGGGAGCCTTCATTTTTTTTTTTTTTTTTTTTGAGGTCAGTAAATAGGAATAATGCCAATACTTCTCCTGCCAGGGCCATTCTGGAGATCAGTGAGAAGGCTCTCTGAGCCCTAAACTATTCAGCGAATGCTGTTTGTTATTGTGATTCATCTTTGGGGTCTCCAGCCTTGAGCAAGGGATCTTCTCTGCCTCTCTGCCAGTCCCAGGGGAAGTCACAGTGATGACTGTCCTCCAGAGCAGGTCACTCATGTCACTAGAGCTCTGTCTAGCTCACTCCCCCTTCTCATGTGTCCTTGGCAGTCTTCCTGTTGACCCTGAGGCCCTGTAGGGGGGAGCCTGTCCTCTGCTTTGGGCCATTCCCCAGTCAGGGCTCTCGCTATCTTCCTATAGGACCTGGAGGAGGTGTTCAAGAGTGAACTGAATGGAAACTTCGAGAAGACAGCTTTGGCCCTCCTGGACCGCCCCAGCGAGTATGATGCCCGACAGCTGCAAAAGGCCATGAAGGGTCTGGGCACAGATGAGGCAGTGCTCATCGAGGTCCTGTGCACAAGAACCAATAAGGTGAGTTCCAGTCAAGTCCTCAGCCCCAGCCCCTAGAGGACCATCCAGATGCCCATTAGAGAGGGTTCCAGCAGCCAGAAGGAAAACTACACCTCCTCATGGGGTAAGTGAGTGTCTGGACAGAAACGTTGCAGGAGAGATCCCTCTTTCAATCTTCTAGCTGTCAGTCTTGGTGTTGCTGCCTCTGGCTTGACAGGATAGATCCTTCCAGAACAGCTGTGTCAATGTAGCTTTCATTTTTCTAAAAGGAATGCATAGTGTTATATGCAGGAGGCAAGATTTTGCTTTCCTCCACCCAGCCTGACTTTGCAGGTTTTCGGGCAAAAATAATGCAATAAATGGTCTAAGCATGTTTATGCAGCAGCCTTGTCCATGGCCGTCTTCTAGCATAGAGTACAAAAAGGACCGTAAAGAGGCGGGGAGGCAGGTGCTGCAGAGGGGATTCCTGTGCACACCACTCGTGGCTGCCAGCACCTTCCTGAAGGTTTCCATCTGCTTCTATTAGCAGACTTCTCCCCCTAATCCTTGGGCCATTTCAGGAGCTGAAAAGAGCCTTTGTTAAGGCCTTAGTCGAAGCCCATTCATCTTTGGTTCCAGAAGGTATGAGGACCAAAGAATTCATCAAGAGTAGAGGTCTCCAAATCATTATTTGGAGACCCTCACCCTCTGCTGCAACCACTCATCGTGTAGAATGGGGAAGTACAGCAAGGAAAACGCCAGAAAGTCCCAACATTCTTGAGGCCTCCAGGTAGGAGACAGAGGCAGTGTTTGGAGCCAACAGCAAGGAAAAACTTCAACAGAGTTCTGGTGCTAAAACAATACTTTAAAAAGCCTTGAGTGTAGATGACCTTGGGTTGGTTCCTTCTGCTCAGCCCGTGGGGTCCATTTCTCCAAGCACCACCATGCTCCAAGCTACAGCTCAAGCCCCTAAACCCCTTTCCTGAGCATCCCCGGACTTTTCTTCCCACAAGACAAAAAACCCTCCATTTCAAGGAGTTTTTGTTCAGGAAGAGTCAGTGAAGGAGGCTGGTATTAGTTTGGTCCTGCAGTTATACAGCGTTCCCTACGCAAGGTCCCCCATCTTCTAAAACCTCCACAGTCCCAGCCAGGAAGTATCCAATATCAGGGTAATGGGCAGCCTGCCTTGGTGAGAAGGTTCAGATTATTATTTTCCTAATCTTATTTGACCACATGCGGTTCCTCCTCAGCCTCGTTTCTTTCAAGCCCTGCTCTCAAACAACAAATAAGCTCTTTTTCTCCCCCACAATCAAATCGGTCTGACAATAAAAAGAAGAAAAGTAGGGAGAGAGCAGGCCTTGGGTTCAGGCACATCCTGGCAGTGGGTTGGAAGGAGAAGAACAGAAAGAGCTACATGGAAGCAAGTGGTCAGCCCCCACCAGCTCCCACGTCCTCTGGCCCTGCGGGCTCCTCCCCGCCCACGGTCCCCACCGCCTTCCCCCCGGCCTGCTGCTGACTCTCTTTAACAGTTTGCCAGTGAAGATCTGGGGAAATGCCTGCTCGTAGACACTGCTGGCTTACATGTAAACTGAGGCAGCTCCTGAGGGGGCCACTCAGTCTGAGACATTGAAACACAAAGCACTCCTTCCCAGGACACACCCCAGAGAGAGGCTGGCAGCCCTGCACACGGCACGTTGTTTACTGAATGAAGCCTTGTGTCAAGTGGAGAAAAAGTTGGAAGCAACCTAAATGTGCATCCATCCGAGACTGGCTAAATACACTGTGGCTTGCTGTAGGCTGGGACGTTTTGTATCCACCACTAGGGAACTACGGATAAGCATAGCTGGATTCCCAAGACACACTATTGAGTGAAAAAATAAGTTCAAGAACAACACATACGATTCTCTATACTTTCAGTAGCACACCTATCTGTATACAAATGCAAGGACAAATGCTTGGGAAGATACTCAGTGAACCGATGATACTGGCCACCTGAGTGGAGATGGGGCCATGAGATGGGGTGAGGAGGTGGCAAAGTAAGATATTAGCTTAGCTGTAGTAGTTTTGCTTTTAACGAAGGAGAATGTATGTATGTGTTTGGTGTGTGGTTTGAGATGTTTGCACGGAGGGCCTTCTTCACACCTCCAGGGACCCGCCCCAGGCCTAGGCTCTGAGCCATAGGCTGGCTCTCTTTGGAGGAAGCCGTGGAGGCATCCTGTGTCTGAAGACATGTTCCGGCCACTTCCCTGTGTGTCCCTGTGTCTCCTACTGATCGACCCCACCTTGGAGTATTGATTTTTGTTTTATTACCCTTCTTAGGAGATCTCGGCCATTAAAGAAGCCTACCAAAGGTGTAAGTGATCTTTTGTTCTGACTTTGGATAAAGAATGTTCCTTTCAAAATACCTCTGGGAAATGAAATCATCTGCCTTCTCTCCTCCCTTTTTCTTCTTCGAAAGTATTTGACAGGAGCCTTGAATCAGATATCAAAGCCGATACAAGTGGAAGCCTAAAGAAAATTCTGGTGTCCCTGCTACAGGTAATATGAGACCCACCAAGGGGAAGATCTCTTTTGATCAACTCAACTAATTACAGATCTTAATTTTATCTGTAAAATCTCCTTTGTATATTAACATAACATAACCTCATGGGAGTGACAGCTTACATTCCCAGCTCTTAGCCGCACTCAAGGGAAGGGAGTCATACAAGGGCTGGGCCGCTCAGGATTCCGCCTGCCATAAAGGGCTTAGGTTAGAATCCAGAACCTTCCATGACCAAGTCTCAGGGCTCTTGAGCACTGGGAAACCCCGGGGAGGTGAAATGTGATATTTTGAAAGGGAAACTATTAGCTTTTCAATGGAGTCACTCTAGGGAACATCATGAGGTTGCTTTCAGCCTGCTTAGAGGTCAGTGGGTTTGTGAGTGACCCAGGTTTCTACAAGAAAGACTCAAGTGCTGTTTCAGAAGCTACTCTGCTTATCAGTTGTGCCCTAAAGATGGCAGCAGAGAGCAGCACTGCCACTTTGCCAGGCTCCGTCTCCTCCAGACCACCCTTCTGAAATCACCCCCGGCTTTCCAGGACTTTCTCTTTCTGTTTACTGTGGTGAAGCAGGAACTCAAGTTAATAACAACGTGTCAATTTTTCTAGGCCAATCGTGATGAAGGAGATGAGGTGGACAAAGATCTAGCGGGTCGGGATGCCAAGGATCTGTATGATGTAAGTGTGCAGATGTGCCAGTCTGCAAATTCCTTTTCCTTTTTAAAGTTTCTTAGCACTGTTTTCAACAAACGTTTCTCTATTTCATGCAAATGGGAGCTGCTTGAGAAATAAATATGACCTTTAAAATATTTTCAATATATACAGTCTTTGTGAACCTGTAAGAATTGTTCCTATTTTGGGGGCACCCGGGTGGCTCAGTCGGTTAAGTGTCGTCCGACTTCAGCTCAGATCATGATCTCATGGTTTGTGGGTTCGAGCCCTGCATCAGGCTCTGTGCTGAAAGCTTGGAGCCTGGAGCCTGCTCCGGGTTCTGTCTCCCTCTCTTTGCCCCTCCCTGGCTTGCACTTGCACTTGCACTCTGTCTCTCTCTCTTTCTCTTAGAAAAACAAACATTAAAAAAAAAAAAATTGTTCCTATTCTTGCATTTCAGAGTTTACTGCTTCAGATCCATTTCGGAACAAGGGAGGGTATAAATATTATAAATAAATGTGTGAGTAAACCTGCACGTATAGTGCTTAGTTGATCAATTTGACTTTTGACTTCCAGTCAGTGCCTATTTTATAATTGTCTGTAAGTGAGACCTGGTCATAGAACAGTATATTCAGTGTGTTTTGCAAAAGGCTTTTTCAAAATGTTTGCCTTTGTCCCGCAGGCAGGGGAGGGCCGCTGGGGCACTGATGAGCTTGCCTTCGATGAAGTCTTGGCCAAGAGGAACCACAAGCAATTACGCGCCACCTTTCAAGCCTATCAGCTTGTAAGTAAATAAGCACCAGGGCAACGGAGTTCACACTAAAACTGCTTATTTCCAAAAGAAGTCCAGATCAGGGGTAAGGAACCATGGGAGTCTTTTACAACAGAGGTTCTTAATCAGAGGTGATTTTGCTCCTCCCCCACCTCAAGGAATATTTGGTAATGTCTGGAAACATTTGGGGTTGTCACCTTGGGTGTTGAGGAGACAATGCTAAGAGCATCTAGTAAGTCAAGGCTGCTAATCAGCCTACAATACACAGGACGGACCCGCAACAAAGACTTATCCGGCCCCAAATGTAGTGCCGAGGTTGGGAAACACTGCTTAACAGCAGAGGCTAGGAACATAGAGGAGTGTCAAGTTGAAGAGCAAAGCCTTAGAGTTAATATCCAGGCTCAAATCCATGTCCTATCACCGGCGGGTCACCTAACCTCTGTCCTCATTTGTAAAATGGGATGATAATCTTCATCATCACACCCTCTTGGACTTCTTTCAAGAGATAAATAATATAGGGGCACCCGGGTGGCTCAGTCAGTTAGGTGTCCATCTTCGGCTCAGGTCATGATCTCGTATTTGTGAGTTCGAGCCCTGAGTCGGGCTCTGCCTCTCTCTGTCTCTCTCTCAAAAATAAAAATTTTGGGGGGCGTCTGGGTGGCTTAGTCGGTTAAGCATCCGACTTTCGCTTAGGTCATGATCTCGCGGTTCATGGGTTCGAGCCCCGCATCGGGCTTTGTGCTGACTGCCAGCTCAGAGCCTGGAGCCTGTTTCAGATTCTGTATCTCCCTCTCTCTCTGGCCCTCCCCTGCTCACGCTCTCTCGCTCTCTCTCTCTCTCTCTCTCCTAGAAATAAATAAAAATATTTTTNCTTTCGCTTAGGTCATGATCTCGCGGTTCATGGGTTCGAGCCCCACGTCGGGCTCTGTGCTGACTGCCAGCTCAGAGCCTGGAGCCTGTTTCAGATTCTGTATCTCCCTCTCTCTCTGGCCCTCCCCTGCTCACGCTCTCTCACTCTCTCTCTCTCTCTCTCCTAGAAATAAATAAAAATATTTTTTATAAAAAGAGTTAAGTAATAAATGTAAAAGGCTCAGAATAGTACCTGGCATGTGGTAAGCACACAAATGTTCTCTCTTATTATTATTCCAATTAACGGTTGGGTTAACAGAGTGCTTACCACTCCCAAGACAGATGGGATATACCTCAGAGATATACTCCTGAAATGATGTGTATAAATTACTGTTACACAATTATTTTTTATCTGATGATAATGTTAAGCCAACAAGATGAGTTAGTTGCTTCAAGGCATTTAGTGGTGAGTTTTTCCCCCGAAAATCAGTCTTTCATTGCAAGAAGCCTTCTGAGGAGTATCAGATGTTTTGGTCTCCTATTTTATATTTGTAGAGTGCTTTTGACTATTCAAAGCACTTCTGTGCCCTATATCTCATTTCAATTTCACAGCAATCCTGTAATGGTAATGTCGGCTGAGCAGCCATTGTTACCTACAGCTGCTGGACAAGGCAAGTCTGTTATGAGTAAGGCGCCATCTGTAACTTATCAGGACCACACAGCAAGCCAGTAGCAGAGAATGGATGAGAACAGCAAGATTCCCCAGCCCGAGCTTCTACCTCGGCTGGAGCTGGCCACTCCTCACTCGAAATAGCATTTCCTATGTGTTGCCAGCAGATGAAAAGACAATAAAGCTCAGGAATTTTATCATTACTGTATATAAGCCTAGAGGGACTTTTGCTTTCAAATCGTGCCCAGAGTCATGATCAAAGCCAGCTGACCCTGCGCTCCTCTGGCCTCTGCTCCTGGAACGGTGTTGACTCTGAGCTGGAAGACTTCTCTCTGACCTACACCCTCTTCCCACGTGGCTGGGGCCACAGATAGAGTTTCTGGGGATGGCTGCTTTGGGTGATCACTGTGGAAACACACACACATTAGTGTGTGTGTGTGTGTGTGTGTGTGTGTACATGAACTACTAACCACCTGCAAGGATATTCTCCAGGCCAATTGTTCGCAAAATTAATCCCCATATAGCAGCATCAGTATCACTTGCAAACATGTTAAAAATGAGAATTCTCTTATTTAAAGAGAGAAAGAGAGAGAGGCACTGAGAGGGTGGCTCAGTCACTTGAGTGTCCAATTCTGTTTTCAGCTCAGGTCATGATCTCATGGCTTGTGGGTTCGAGCCCTGCGTCAGGCTCCATGCTGACAGTGCAGAGCCTGTTTGGGATTCTCTCTTTCTCCCTCTCTCTCTGCACCTCCCCTGCCCTCTCTCTCTCTCAAAATAAATAAACTCAAGAGAGAGAAAGAGGGGGAAATCTCAGCCCCCTCCCTGGCCTACTGAATCAGACTGAGTCCTATAGTGTATGTTTCAACAAGTCTTTCAGGTGATTCTGGTGCCTGAATTAATGTTAAAATTGCAAAGATCTGCTGTAGACTACTAGCTGTATGACCCTGGGCAAGTCATTAAGGATTCTGCACCTCAGTTTCCCCAACTATAAACAGAGATAATAATGGTACTTACTTCAAAGGGTTAGTAAAGATTAATGAATTAATAGAAATAAAGTGCTTAGTACCTGGCATGCAGAAGGTGTTCAATAAGTACCAGCAACTGTTAGTTGTCTCCTTATGTGAACCAATAAAGCCCAAAAGGATAATAAGATAATTTATTGATTTAATGATTCTTTACATGAAACTAGCTCTAAAATACTACCTATTCCTCTATTCTCAAAATTTTCCCAGAACATCATTTGTTTTGATTTTTATCACCGATTTTTGTGAGTGCACCCTGATATCAAGAACCTGGTTCATAAGTTTTCACCTGGGTCTCCGGCTAAAAGCAACAAACTGCTAGCACGAGATCATGGGAGTCTACTACGCTGTGTAGGTTCCCCTAGCATAGAGCTGAATTTTTATTTTTGGCATGAAAACGTTAGGGGTTTGCCCTCCAAGCCTGAATCTTAACTACTGACGCTCCCAAAACTCCTCACCACCCAACAAGAGAGACCAGGGGATACCATTCAAAAAACACTCTCTGAAAGGGTAGGCCCTGGAAAGTCAAAGAGCCTTCTTGGATATAGCAGTGCTCATAGAAACAGAGAGAATAATAGGTCTTTAAAACCAACAAGAGCCGGAAAGCTAACTAAAATGACGAAACGAAAGACCTCTCCTCCAAAGAAACTCCAAGAAGAAATGACAGCTAATGAACTGCTCAAAACAGATATCAGCAGCATCACTGAACAAGATTTTAGAATAATAATGGTAAAATTAATAGCTGGGCTTGAAAAAAACATAGGGGACATCAAAGAAACTATGGCTACAGACAGAATGGAAAATAAAAATAGGCATGAAGAATTAAAAAATGCGATAAATGAGATCCATAATAAATTAGAGGCCTCCAATGCACGGATTGAAGAGGCAGAAAGGAGAATAAGTGATTTAGAAGACACCATTATAGAAAAACAAGAAGCTGACAAAAAAAGAGACAAACTGATCCAGGAACAGGAAAGAAGAATTCGAGAGCTCAGCGATACGGTCAAACGCAACAATATCCGTATCATAGGAATCCCAGAAGAGGAAGAGAGAGGGAAAGGTGCTGAAGGAGTCCTGGAACAAATTATAGCAGAGAACTTCCCCGACCTGGGGAAGGAAGTAAATGTGGAAGTACAAGAGGCTCAGAGGACTCCCCTCAGACGTAACCTGAATCGATCTTCTGCACGACATATCATAGTGAAAATGGCCAAATACAAGGACAAAGAGAGAATTTTGAAAGCAGCTAGGGAGAAAAGGGCCCTAACATACAAAGGGAAACCTATCAGAGTGGTGACAGACCTATCTACTGAAACTTGGCAGGCTAGAAAGGAATGGCAGGAAATCTTCAATGTGATGAACAGTAAAAATATGCAGCCAAGAATCCTCTATCCAGCAAGCCTGTCATTCAAAATAGAAGGAGAGATAAAAACCTTTCCAAATAAACAGAAATTGAAAGAATTTGTCACCACGAAGCCAGCCCTACAAGAAATCCTGAGGGGGATGCTCTGAAGGAAAGGTTGCAAGGAACAAAGATACCAGAGACACCACCACAAACATGAACCCTACAAAAGATACAAAGACTCTAAACCCACATATTTCAATAATAACACTGAATGTAAATGGGCTGAATGCTCCAATCAAAAGACATAGGGTAGCAGAATGGATTAAGAAACAAAATCCATCAATATGCTGTCTACAAGAAACTCATTTTAGACGGGAAGATACCTTCAGATTAAAAGTAAGGGGATGGAGAAATATATATCATGCTACAGGAAATCAAAAGAAAGCCGGAGTAGCGATACTTATATCAGACAAACTGGACTTTAAATTAAAGACAATCACAAGAGATGAAGAAGGGCACTACATAATAATTACAGGGTCCATCCATCAGGAAGAACTAACAATCATAAATGTCTACGCACCGAATATGGGAGCACCTAAATATCTAAAACAATTAATCACAAACAGAAACAAGCTTATAGATAAGAATGTGCTAATAGCAGGGGACTTTAATACTCCGCTTACAGCAATGGATAGGTCAACCAGACAGAAAATCACTAAAGAAATAATGGACTTGAAAGACACATTGGACCAGATGGATCTGACGGATATATTTAGAACTTTACATCCTGAGGCCAGGGAATTTACTTTCTTCTCAAGTGCGCATGGCACATTCTCCAAGATAGATCACATACTGGGACATAAAGCAGCCCTCAATAAATATAAAAGAATAGAGATCATACCATGCACACTGTCAGATCACAATGCTTTGAAACTTGAAATCAATTACAGGAAGAAGTCTGGAAAACCGCCAAAAACATGGAGGTTAAAGAACACCCTTCTAAAGAATGAATGGGCCAATCAGGCAATTAGAGAGGAAATTAAAAAATATATGGAAACAAATGAAAATGAAAACACAACAATTCAAAATCTATGGGATGCGGCCAAGGCAGTCCTAAGAGGAAAGTACA